AACCCCGCGATTTTTTTCCAATTAAAAAAAACAAAAAGGTAAAAAAATTACAAAAAAATATATTTACGCGTGATAAAAAAAAAAAAAAAAAAAAAAAAAAAATCAAATGAAACTTCTCGCTTGTAGTTTTAAATTGTCTAGTTCACAAACGTTATTGTATAATAATAACATGTTTCACTGTCGGCTTCTTTTTTGTATCCGTTACACATATTTGTGGAAAAAGAAAAAAATGACATTTTTGAACTATAACAAGTTTCAATTAAAATATTGCGTTTATTCAATGATCCTTACCCAAATCAGTTTTCTTCTTTTCTCTTTTTTTTTAAACATATACACGTCAACATCCCTATATTGTCTACTTATTATACACATATGATAAAAAATATATTTCTTTCTGTATGTCAATATGATTGTCTCGTAGTATTTTCATTTATTAGTTTATATATGGATAATCTGTACTCTTCTAAATGCTTTAAATATTTTAAGAACATCGATGATCGTTCTATTATAATTTTTACTCTTTTTGAAAGAAATCGATGAGATATTTATGCGGTCTTATATCACAAATATTTTCTAGACTAATTCTTTCATTGACCAGTATTTTTAATTGTTTTTTTAAATAATTATCAGTGATCTGCATTCGTCCAAATAATTTTGGACTCCATTTTTTAACCCCCATTGAAATCTGCATTATATATCATTTTGAAATAGAAGATATTATCAATACATATCTTTTTGTAATAAAATAAATGAAGATAATGTTATTTAACAATAAGAAATAAGTTTATAGAACAGTTAAGAAACAGCATTTTTCACGAGATTTATGCATGAAAAAGAGAGAAATGTATAAAAATATCATTCCATGTAATGACACCGTTAGAACAGGTGTTTAGTTATATCTCTATCAAAAACATGGCTATAATAATAGACAACACTTTCTTTTCTTTGATATTTTGGACGATAATGTTATGTTTGAGCTAGACCGCTTGTTAAATATGGGTGTCCCATTAACATTTCAGCTGTCGGTCGCCGTCTCGGATTAAAACGTAAGCATTTTCTTAAAACATTTCGTAGTAATGGATCTGGATGTGGTGGAATCTGAAGATCTCTTCTCATTTTTCCGAGAAAACTAATTTTATTCGAATTATCGCCTAAATATTGTAAAGGTCTTTCACCAAATGCCATTTCGTATAATATCACGCCTAGTGACCATATATCGCTTTTATAACCAAATTTTGATCGTGATCCAAGATTGAATCGAGCATTAATCAATTCAGGAGCAACATAATCTAAAATAAAATGATAGAAATCTCATTATTATTACGATTAGTTTTCATTAGAGATATGCACGGGTACCGTTTTCGTACCGGTACCCGATCCAAGAGCTTTGTACTCGTATCCGACTTATGCCTAAAATTTTCTCCTTTTCGTTTTCCAGCTAAAAACTTTTGTTTTTCGACTGGAGATGACAAATTATCATTACGTTCTCAAGTAACGGTTTTTTAAAATTTCATGTATTTTAGCTAAAATCTTGATTTTTCCACTAAAGTCTCTCGGTTTTTTTGATGAATAAAAAAAACGAACTCGTATCTGTAATTGCTCTACCTGTACCCAACAACCTCGTACCCATACCCAACCTTCGGGTCGGGTCAGGTTGCACTTTAGTTTTCACTGTAATTTCTATTAAAAAAGATAAAAATACTTACCCGGTGTACCCGCCGCAGTTTTTAATCGACTTGTAATAAATGGTGGTAAACGAAAACTGATGCCCATATCAATTAAACGTAATGATGTACCATCTGGTCCAACTTGAATGAAATTTTCCGGTTTAACATCGGCATGTACAATTCCAATTCGATGTAAATAGTATATGGCTTCAACCATCTGTGACCAAAATCGTTTTACTAATGGTAACGGTAATAATGCTCCTGATCCATTTGTTTCAATTAATGTATCTCGAAATGTATCTCCTCTTTCCATGACAATAAAACCGACTGCCTCACGATAATCCCAATTTAATACACGTATAACATAAGGATTTAATGGTTGCAAATGTAATAGTAGATCAAGTTCTTTCCAAAAACTTTGTCGTCGAGAGTCTGTGGTTGCTCTAGCTAATGCACGATGTCCAAATTGTATTATTTTTATTGCCACATTTTGTCCTGTTGAAAGATCTCGTGCACTATAAACAAAACTGTGCAAACCATAACCAATTTCATCGTCAAGTCGATAAGGAACACCATGAATAGTAATTCGTCTTGCTCCAGCAGCCATGATTATTGTTAACTAATACCTATAACAGAAATTAAAAATTAAACTAATATTAGATAGTGAGATGAAAGAAAAAGAAAATATATTTCTGACTGTCTTATATCTTTATACATTGATGATGTGTCAATTTATGACTGACAATAAAGACGGAAAAGGTTAGAAAATTCCTCATGTTATTCATAACGAAATTTGTCTTATTCCTCTATTTAGTAAACACATGAGTGATTCTGGTGTTTTTTGTACCGTTTTTAACGAAAAAAATGCCCCCAAATGAAAGTGTCCAGAAAAATATTTTAACACCGTAGAAAAAAATTCGAAAAAATTCTGTTTTCGAACTACGAAGTCCTTCTCAGCCAAAGTCCTGGTTGTTTACTTTTTGACTCAGGATCGAAAATGCGATTTTCTCTGCTTTTCAGCTAAAAAAACATAATTAAGCTTAAAAATGTATTGAAACATAGGTTTTCACGTATGCTCTATCAACCGGTATCCTTAAAAAATGGTTTTTAACAATTTCTAAGCTTAGGCCTCTAGAAATCAAGGTTTTCTGAGAATCCTTTGCTGAGCTGGTTTTCAGAAAACTGAGCCGACTATTCGATTCAGGGCGTCAATATATGTATAATCATAAAATTTGAGACTTTATGTGCTAGCCATTACAATTCTAGAGATGTGAGACAAAAGTTAGGTGTGGAACATTCTGATGTATTTTTCAAATTTCTTCCTTTAGAAATAAGTTGAAACCTTTGTATTTACAGCATAACTTGTGCTACTCATCTAACATATATGGTAAAAAAACGAGCTCTTAATTCCATGTAGTTCGGTCAGAAAAGAGTCAGAAGAGGGTGGGACAAATTGTATGTCACAAGCCACTGGTCGTCAGTAAAATATAAATTACTCAAAAACGAAAAAAGCTGCTAATTTGCGATTTTTAACAATGTATTGTACCTACTTTAGTGAACTTTTTCATGGAAAAACATTTGAGTTAAAGTGCTTATTGGCTGCGCAGTAGACTCAAAAGAGGGTGGGACAAGATTTTTAAATTTTTCGAGGACCACAAATTCCATCGAACTTTTCACAGAAACTAAAACAGATTAGGCAAAACTAAGACTGCAGGTTGACAGAGCAGATAAAATACTGATAAAAAGGTTTTGTTCCGCCACCCCTTTAAAAGAAGAAAAATCTTAATTCAGAAAAAAGAACGTGCAGGAATCACTAAGAAAAGAAAGGGAACCAAAAAACAAAGTGTTTTGCTTACTGTATACTAAGGAAATGAGACAGAAAAGAGATCTTAGCAGTATATATAGAGTAAAGTGTCCGGAATAAAATGACATAAGCTTCCAAAAGTTTGGTTTAGTATTAACGGAGATCCGTGCAGGTATATTATACTACTCTTAAGCTTGATGTAACTCGTGTAACCCAATCACTTATTAGAGGGGTACTTCGAGTGCTCGAAAATACGCTTTCGATGGACTCTCTCGCCACGGGCTCGAACCCTCAAAAAACGGCACTTCGGGCTCTCGATATAAGCTCTCGAGGGTTTATCAATTTCGAGCCCTCGGATTTTAGATAGGTAGCAAGCTCTCTAGAAAAATTTCGAGTCATCGAACAGAGATATTCGGAACTTTCGAGTCCTAGTTCCGAACACCTCTGTTCGATGACTCGAAATTTTTCTAGAGAGCTTGCTACCTATCTAAAATCCGAGGGCTCGAAATTGATAAACCCTCGAGAGCTTATATCAAGAGTCTGAAGTGCCATTTTTCGAGAGTTTGAGTCCTCGACGAGGGCCTATTTTCGAGTACTCGCCGTACCCCTCAAACGATTCTTTTCATCTAATATAGGAAAAGTTTATTTATAAATAGTGAAATTTAAATTGATTCAGATTAGAGTGTATGCATATATTTTACAGCTAATTTCTAATTCAAATCTCTCAGAATTGAAAATAATATATTCTGTGCTTACTCAATAATAGCAACGCTGTTCATTATTAAGAAAAAACAATTATAATTATTATTCGATGAAGAGGAGAAGAAAAAAAGATATAATGGAAACTATATTGGCGTCTTTTTTTCAATTATTCAGACATTTTTAGATGTGTGACATCATTATTAATTGAACTACAATATCAAAATAATAAATCGTTTCCAATCGTGGCGGTCTATGTAATATGTAACGTGTTGCCACCGAAGGTTACTTTCATCAATCAATCAACAAGGATAGAGATACAAGGTAAAAATAATATTTGATATATTGACATTTATGCGCCTTGTGGTTTTTCTTGCCGTTTGCTTTGTCTATAGACGGCAACAACTCTATTCAGGCATATCAAGTTTGAAGGTATACTCTATTTTCTACTTTATATTTATAATGGAATCATTTTTCTTCTTTCATCTTTACTAAAGTACATTTCTTGCAAGCTTTTGAAAAATGTCATGAGTATACCATTATCTTTCATAATAGATTACGGTACTATTCACTGAGATCAAAGAGAAACCATATCGATTACAAAAGCATATAATTGTTATAGACAGAATGAAGATGTTATTCTCAGATAGTTTTTACTATAGAAATTCTAATTGTCATGCACTAAAGGACAGATGCAACCAACTAAGCACATATAGTCGACATTCGGTGAAGGTTATTTTTCTTACGCTTTTAAAAAGTACATCGCTAAAAAAGATATATAATTAATTAAGCCGCGACACCTTGTACAAAATCTTTTAAAAAATACCTTTCTTACTACTACTGTAGTATCTTGTTCATAGGTGGCTTCTCAAAAAAATTGTGTATATACATCAAGGGCTGATGATATCCGTGTGTATGTGTGTGTGTGTACACTCAGTTTTTTCCAATAAAAAAAAAGTCATCAATTAACTTTTGAAATATATAAATTGAATTGTATTAGAATATAGTCGGTTTATTTCAATCCTCTTGCTGAACTTAGTGTTAAAATGAACTTGCATTCCCCTTTAATGTACATATGACTCAGTGAATTATCTATATTTTAACATTCAATCAATATTTTATGATGTAATTTATTGTAGTAACATGGCATATAATATTGCTAAAATATGATTATTAAATAACTTTAGGAGTAGAGAGAAAAATTTAAAATGTGACTGGTTACTTTCATATGTCAGATATTACATCAAATTTCGATTAGAATAAACTTTTATGTCAAATAGAATTCATCCTTGTCTAGATGTTTTTCAGGTAATTTAAAAGAGGAAAGTCAAGTCGTAGTTCTCTTAACAGAATTCTGCCGATTAAAACAGTGATGTGCGAAATAATATTAAAGTACCGCGAAAAATATCTCTATCAGATAGAAAATGATGAATTCTATTCGACGTGAAAGTATAACGTCAATTAGGTTTGGTGAAGTAAGCACATGTTAATACACGGTAAAAATACTTAAAAGTAAGTCACACTAAAAAAGTATACCCAAAATCGCTCTTTTTAGGAATCGCTTTTCAGAAAGATCACTTTTAAAATAGGCAGCAGAAGAACACTTTTGAAAAGTGATTAGAAGATAAAATAGAATACGTCTGAAAAAATGCCATTTTTCGAAGCGCTGAGCTGAAGTACTAAAAGTATTCCAAAAAAGAACACCTTTTGAAAGTATTCCTCAGTGTAGTAGTATTTTGAAACTGCTAAAAACCAGCGTAGGAAAAGGAACTGTTCTTTTTAGCTACACATTTTTTTTTATAGTGTACTTAACGATCTTGTTCGTTTTCATTTTCTATACCCTTACTTTTTTTTAAAAATTTTGTCACGCTAGTATTAAAACGACAGTTCTGGTTAGTTCACTATGAAAGTGCGTTTCGATTAGAGATATGCACGGATACCGTTTTCGTACTCGTACCCGATCCGAAAACTTCGTACCCAACCTTCGAGTCAGGTTGCACATCTCTAGTTTCGGTAATAATGTCAAACATATAGCTAACACCTCACAATCAAATTCAAGAAATGATGTAAATGATGCAGCATTAATGAAAAGGATGATTAGAGTCGTTTTGGCTTCAAATAGTACGCATCTCCTATACTTTATGTATTTCAATAGGTAGCAGGACTATTTCAGAAAAGATTTAATCTAACAATCTAAAAGCATTAGCTTCTACAATATGAATGATAACTAACGATCGATCTAAAACATATCATTTAAATATCACTTAAACAAAATTTAACTTTCTTACTTATTATTTGTGATGCTTCAGATTTGAACACATTGTCTGTCTGAATATTGTACATAATGGCATACTCAGTAGTTCATAGATAATAAGTACAATTTGTTGAAGAATATTTCATAAAGATACAGCTATTATCATATAGATTTAAATATGTGAAGTACAGATCGATAGATCCTATCAGTATAACGGATTATCGAACTTTAGTTGATGGGAGATAATCACAACGACATATAGAATTTTCGATTTTATTGTTGAATGCTAGAGGACTCATCCTCATTTATCATGATAATATGTGATAAATTTGTATGGAATGCCATAGAAGACAATAAAAATATCTTCTAGTACAGACTAAGTTATATAGTAACAACTTGAAAACAGACCAACAATATACCAATGATATACTAAACTTGTTGGATGAGTGTGTATATTCCAGGAGAAAATATCATTCAACTACTTTTATTTATCATTGTTAACGGATTGTTCAATATATTATATCCACGTTGGAGGATCAGGAGCAAGTCATTTTTTTATGTAACAACTAATAATTCAAACGATTGAGAAGTTGCAGTTGATATCCGAAAATCTATGGAATTTTGTCGATGTTTTACACGCATCACCATCACATTCTTAAATGATGAATAAATCTCTCACATTGTGTCTCATCTCTGAAACACAGTAACTCGGATTTATACCCGTCTTTTTGAAGATAGTTTCTGATTATATCTCTTTTGTTCTCATTTTACCTTTGTGTCGTAAAATATGGTTATTTTTTTTCCTGATACGGCGGTATTTGTGTCTATTCTTACTTTTAATTACCGAGTTGAGGAAAAATAAACCGTGGTTTTTATTTCGTATATCTTTTTTACTATTAATGTTAAACAGTCAATTCAAACGCTGTTCGAAAGAGCAGATATTTTTGAACATTACTAGATATAAAATTAAATACTACACGAGACTGTTCAAACTTTGTAAAAACGATTTTCCGTCTCTCTGATCTTAAATAGAAAAGTGAATTTGTTTAAGAGTACTCATCGCTCTCTTGTTGTCAAAATCTCGATTTTCTAATTAGATGTGACACAATATACAGTTAAATGGTCTCTGTATAATGAAACGTCTCTCAGTTCTCTATGACGTTTTCTTTCCCAGTTAAGCATTTTTTAATACACACCACTGGAGATCCAACATCAACATGATGAATTTGAATCTCCAGTGGTCCATCTTAAAAAATGCATAACTCGGAAAGGAAACGTCATAGAGAGTTGAGAGGCGTCCCATTATACAGAGAACATTTAACTGTATATTGCGGTACACCTAACTCGAAAATTGAAATTTTGACAAAAAGAAGCAAAAATCAAAAATATCTGCTCTTTCGAATGGCGTTTGAATTGGCTCTCTAACATCAAAAGTAAAAAAAGATACATCAGAAACAAAACTCATGATTTATTTTTCCTCATCTTGATAATTTCTACACATTTGTGTGGTGTGCTATAAGAAGAACAGTATGCATTATATATATCTTGTCTCTCTAATTCAACGTTTACATATTGTTGTCAGTAGTATATTTGACTAACGAAAAGAGTTTTTACCAATAATTAATTAATATAGACATTGGAACAGTTATTCTCGCAAATATGAACTTGAAATAATATCATGTTGTTCAATGACAAAAATAATCGAATTAAAATATTCACGTTGAGTTTATTCTACAATGTATCTATATAGTTACCTATTGTTGTATCCGCTGTTGAGCCATATTTATACGTATTATTTTGTAACAGAAAAAGATTTTAAAATATGTAAGATGTTCTACTAAATTTTCTATCATTTCTAATTTATTTAGTAGAATTGACGTGAAACTGAGAGTATTTTCTACATTAAACGTTTTCAGTCTGCTATTCAAGGCAATATCAAGATCATTTTTCTCTCAAGAAATACTATAGTAAGAGTGAGTGACAGAGTTCTAACGATAAAACACACTGTAAACGAAATTTGTCAGTACTAAAAATATTTCGTTTTTGTAAAAACGAATGAGAAACGAAAAAAAGCACTATGAATATATATTTTTTGTTTATTTGTACTATATTCACCCACCATAATATATTTCTTCTCTGAATATCAATTAGTGAGTAGAATGAATGTAATAAGCGTGTTATATTTTATCACTATGCGTTCTATAATGACTATAATTACCCTGGACCACATAATTCTTAGTTCATTAGTAATTAAATTCATTTTTATAGATATAAAATTTCGAATAATTGCCAGTATTCTTAGTTCATGTGCATCTGACATTCATCAATGAATATTGTTTCGATGGTGTATTTTTTCAATGTGTAATATCCTCGTCATTTCTTATTATCATTACAGTAATTACAACGATATTTAGATATAGTAGTGATATTGTTCTCTACGTTATTCGTATGAAAAAAACGATAGTCTAAGAAAATTTATTATTATATGCCATGTTTACTAAACATATCCTCGTTATTAATCATTGATTACTCTCATTTCTTATTCCTCTGATGTCTCGGTTATGAAATAGTTTTATTTTGAAACAATAGTCAGAATTATGCATTCTGAATACAAAAAATTCTTTGTCTTTTATATTTAAGTCTTCAGTATGTTTCTACTATTTTAATACAAAAGCAAATTTTTGAATATAAAATATCATTACGTTGAGATTCATGAATTGTGTAGCAGATGTGTGAGTTTTTATAATGATTTTAGTTGTTAGAAATTTCTTATTTTTTATGTTAATTGTTTTAGAGAAATTCAACAGATTATTTGCACCATGAGACATAATCATTATTATTTGTGACATAGTAAATGTATTTATGTTTGATATGATTACATCATGTCTATTTAACAAAAAAATTGATAAATTTTTTATTCGAATGATACGAGGTATCTGAAAGAAAGAATATTATTAAAAAAATACAAATTTTTTTTTTTTTTCTTCAAAAATCATACTGTACAGTGCTAAATAAAAATTATTAGAACAGTAAACTTATTTTATTTGTCGATCAATTTAAATGTCTTACTTTTGAAGACAAAATATAGCACCGAAAAAATTCTGAAATGTTTTTCAAAAAAACATATTCAAAACAAGCACAGTTGGCTACATATATAACAATTCTTTTTTCAAATTAATAGAAGTAACAAAATTCTTAAGAAGAATTTGAAAGCTAATATTGTTTCTGATATTTTATCTAGCACTGTAGCCATTAAGATCATATATGAATGAAATTAATAATCAGCTATTTTGACTATGTACTAGCTCTGATACGTAATACTGAATAGAGAAAGAGGCTAGAGTTAAAATGTTTTACAGTTTAAATTATTAGATCTGTTAATACATTCTTGTTATTAAACTCTTGTTGATGCAAGAAACAAGAAATTACTTTGACAATGGTTTTGATGCTTATAGTATCATGGATGAATGAACCGGGAACTACAAGAATTGGCTATATTTATCCTCTTCCTAGTAACAATAGTCAAACAATTGTTTTGTTAGTTCATATCACCACGATTTGGTTTATCATTCACTAAAATGAGAGAATAAAAGAAATAAGAGAATTATTATCTTAATTTTATTACTTACATCGCCAAAGATCACAATAGGGTCCAAACATTTCTGATGGACAAACACATTGTCCAGTTTTCGGATGACAATAACCTTTTCCACACGGTTTACATTCTTCACAATTTATACCCCACTTATTAGGACCACATTGTTTTTCTTTTCTTGTTATTGTTGCTCGAAGCATGTAAAGCGATGGTGAAACAAGCATATGTAAAGCAGTTTTAGGCGTATTATAGACTAAACGATGAGTTCTAATTGTTAACATTGGTGTACTAGTAATATTTGAAATATTATTTGTTACTTGATAATGATTATTCACTGTAGCATTAATAATAACCGGTTTCATTAATTTATTCAATAGAAATATCCCGAGTCCAATTAGAAATAATAATAACAATGATATTATGCATGCACATAATATCAATAACCATCGAGGAAAATAGAAAAATATTTGTGAAGAATTTGGTTGTGTACTACGTGATTCAGTTGAACATGTTCGTTTATTTGTAAATAGTCTATTTGTTTCATCAGTTGTATTCAAACTTTGTTCAACAGCTAGATTATCATATTTAACAACATCCTGAGAAAAAGAAAAAAAAGAAAAGAATATAAAAAAATTCAACATATAAAAATAATAATTAGAATACTTATTTCTTACTTTATCATTTGATAGAAGAGTGAGTGGATTATCATAGTTATTATTATAATTACTATAGGATGATGCAGATGATGATGTAAATTCGTGAATATCGTATAATAAATTTTCGCAAATATTAACGGGATAATGTACATAGGTACGATTTGTGTAGGTTGCACGATGATTATTATTAAATTCTGTTCTACTATTCATTTAGACGATGACGACAACGACGATGACGATAATGATTGATTTAACATTAACTTATTTCCGTGTATTTAAAATGTGATGATGATTTCTCTTTTCGATTCGAATGTATTAAATTTCATGCAATTTATAATTTGACCATTTAAATAACTATATATATATTTGGTCCGAATCGTTTATACTTTTAATACTCTTGAATAGAAGAGAGGACATCAACATATTTTGGTAAATAATATAAACAACACTGTATTATGCTTGAGTGAGAAAAAAAGAAGGAGAGAAAAAATGCGGTACCAAAAAAAAAAAAAAAAAAAAAAAATTAAAGGTTTTGCCAATTTTGTGTTTTTTGATTCGGGAAAAAGTTAATTTGTGGTATGGGACAAACAAAAAAAAAAGAGAAAGGAAAAAAAAAAGAGAAAAAGAATAGGTACAAAAGAAAAATCAAGTTTTAATTTTTAAAATCTAAAAGAGAGACAAAGTTAAGAAAAAAACAACATATATTCAGTATTTTTCAATCAAATTGTTCAAATAACACTTCATAGATTTCATTATTTGAATATATTTTTTGAGTACTAATAAAACTAAGTACTTTTATCATGTCTCAGAGAGAAGAAAAAAAAATAAAGGGATCCATCTTAATCAAAGAATTACTTTCTTTGATTACTTATATATAAAACTATGTATAGACGTGTTGCGCTAACATTTTGAAAAAATGATGTCACAAAATAGTTCAATTCTAAAAAATTAACTAGAAATTTTAATGAAATATATATGTACCTTTTTTATATGTACAGTTTTCTTTGATTAACACAACAAGTTTAATCATTAAAACGAAAATCTTTTATTTCTCTTATATTTAAACTGACGTTCCATTGCTCTTCACTATATTTACCCTCATTTAAATCACTTTTACGTTTTGAATCATGTAACAACATGATAATGACGTTTAGGATTACAGTTGTCAATTTTCCTTTTTTTTTTTTTTTTTTTTTATTAAATACACACAATAATAATGTTACGTATAAAATGTTACACCACACACATTCATTTTTGTGAATTGAAAAATAGAGCTCTCTTAATATATATCGCAAAAGCTATTTATTCTTTATAAATACATTTAATGTGCTTTTTGGATTTCTTTCTTTCTTTCCCCCGTTTTACTTAACATACATATATCATTATTATACATTGAACAACAATTTCTTTGTACAAACTATAACACATTATTTCATCTTTCTTCGTAGAAATGAAAATTACGCTTAAAAATAAAAAATATAAAAAACTTTAAGAACGGAAATAACTTTTTTGTCTAACATTGAACTTAAACCCTTACTCGTGTATAGTTATGTATCTTCTTCAAATGAAATCTGTGAAGCTTGTTTGACATATCATGGCTACTATTTACTATAGGTATCTTTTGTTACTTCATATATCTACGTATACCTACACACATTTTACATTTGCCATCGTACAATGAATGAATTACGATACATGTCATCTTTTATACTTTTCGAAAAATTATGATTCTATTACAAATGATGGCGATCGAACAATTAAACGTGAACGCCTTCAAAATATTTGTATGTGTTCAATTCAACTCACATTAGAATGTTTTATCATATATAAAAGAAAAAAAAAAAGTCTATTCGTGATACATTGTTTCAAGGCTTATTTATATTGCCTTTTTCTAAAATGTCTCAATTATGTATACTTATCCTGTTGTGTTTGTTGGATTTACTAAATGTGTGTGTATATGTGAGTGTGTGTGTGTGTATATATATGATGTTTGTTTAAATTGAAAATCAACGTCTACTGAAAAAGATATTAAAAAATAATGTTGCTGTCAGACTACAATATCAAAAAACTCAAGAACATCATTTAAAATCAACTAGACAAGAGTATATCAATTCGTGTAGACAAAATAAACATAAAAATATCTAGACAATAATGAAACTTACTTTATACACACTATATATATGTGACAGATGATTATGTGAGATCACGAATTGAATACAACTAATTAGTGAATCATTTTCACTTTTAATCAACATGAAGAAAGTTGTTTCTGTTTTAAAAGATCAACAATTCAAATAGATGAAACAATATTTATATATTTAGTTTAATGTAAAGATTTTTTCTCTTTCTTTTTTTTGTTTGTCATATAATT